AGGAGGGCTCTCAGAGGTAGTTAAGAAAGAATCACCATCATGGCATGTGGCCAAGTGTTTCTAAGTAACCCCTGTGATATTCAAATGCCTGAAATGCCTTCACTTAAATTGGTGGACTTTTTTGGTCCTGATTTCTATTCTATTTACTTCCTTAGTAAATATTCTTTTTTCCTCCCTTTCTAGGAGGAAAAAAGAAAACAAAACAAAAATGCCCTTATTATGGTTTACAAAGATAAAGCTTTATTTCTATTTCCACTATTATTATTAGAACAAAGCAAAATTAATGAATTTTTTTCTCTGTCATAAATGGATGTGAATGGCATGTTGCCTTTATAAAGATAACAGGAACATTTTACTTCCATTTTCACCAAAATTTTTGAAAAATGTATGTTCAAGACTGCCTAAAGCACATTCACTCCCTTAATTCACATTTTAAAACAATTAACAAAAAATTGCCTCACCCTGCAGGGTAAGCTTTCTGCTATTACAAATTAGAGGATTTCAAAGAAAAAGTTCATGGAGCAAGGGCCTCTCCTTCTTCTTCACTTAGGTTTTTAAGGTACAATTTAAGGGTGGGCTGGCAAGGTAGTGCGCATACAATTCTACCACTGACAAAGACTCCCGAGTGTATGCAGCTAGTAAATTTTATACTGAAGCAACCACACAGAGAGGTAAAATGAAAACTTCTGAATTTCAAGTAGTCCCCACGTTCCACCAGGCTGTCCTTGGGCAGTCCAGTCCCACGGGTAAGAGGAGAGGAGGGCAATGACAACCCTGCTAGCTACAGCGACCACTCCCCGCACAGGCATTTTTTGTAGATTCTTCTAGGATAGGAGGATGGGGACCCTTCTAGGACAGAAGGAGCTAGTGGAATCAATGAGATGAGTCTCTCAATTAAAATCATCACTACATAACTTCATATATTTAATGCTGAGTTGAATTTCATTGTCTGAGAAAACGCAATGGTGCACAAGTTTATGGAGCATTTTCTACAAAGGAAGATTTAAGAACATTTCTGGATTTAAAAGACAGCATATGTATAGGAAGGGAAGCCTTTTAAATAACAGCTATTACTAGAAATCTTACAGCTGATACACAAGATATGTGTAGTGGTCATTAAATTATATTTTTAATTTAGTAGAATCTTTCTGGTACCCATTTGCTCTATTTATCAAGCAAACATATTGTAAGAAACAAATATATACATTTTTGTACCAAACACATTTGCAGGAGTGAGACACAAAGATAAGTGAGTATGTTCTGTGCACTTATGTATAATACAGGTGTGTGTGTGTGTGTGTGTGTGAGAGAGAGAGAGAGAGAGAGAGAGAGAGAAAGAGGGGAATGGCAGAGAATAGCAAAGGGCTAAGAAGAAGAAAGATGCCACGGAGGAGCTCAGGACAGTAAGTGTGATTCTGATGGTGGAAGTGGGTGGAGAAGGTGGTGAGGGAATTAAAGGACATTTATGAGGGTGCCCCGTGTAAGTAAACATTGAGGCAAAACTTAAGTGTGTAATCAGGTAAAGATGAAAAGCATCCAGAGTATATTTTGACGAAAAGGTGAAGGAAACGTAGGTAGGCTAGGGCCACACTATGGGAGATTCTGAATGCTGGACTGAGGGATTGAGTTTGCTTAGGCATATGGTAAGGACCACAGATGATTTCTGAGCAAGGACTGACAAAATTCAGGAGGGCATGAGCAGGAGAGAGGAGAAACTAAAGACAGCAACAGTGATTAGGAAGTAATTGCAGAAGTCTAGTTAATGAACTATTTCTAGAACTAGATTCATGGCAGGGGGAGTGGAAAGAAAGACAGGGATAGCTGAGCGACCTTTAAGTATGTCTGACTGACAGAGAAGGGAACACTCCCTGCATTACTTAGAGCCACTCTAAACCCGTTAAGTGTTGCCTGTTGTCATAAGGGAACTCTGAGTACTAAAGGAGGTGTAATTTAACACTCATGGTGGCTAGGGAAGGGGGTCTTTAGGCTTTGCAGAACTCTGTATCCATCTCAAAAGCATGCCTTTCCATCAGAAGAGAAAAAAAAGTGACAACTGTGTCCTACCCCATCCTCACTGGGAACTACCTACTGTGAAAACTGCTTACACAAGAGGAGAAAAAAGGTCAAATTAGAAAGTTATCACTTATAACATTTCATACTGCATTCATGTGGAACAATTTATGCTTTGCCAAGCCCTTTTCTACTTATTTTCTCATTTTCCCTAAAGCAGCCCTTGAGGTATTCAGGATGAGAACGACTGGCCCGATTTTTTTAGAGGAGGAATTTGACACTTGCACCTGGGGTCCCAGGGCCGGTATTTCCCAACTCACCTGATGAGATTCTTAGCACACACCTTGCAATCCTCTTGCTGTTGTGCTCGGTTACAGGCAAGTGCTCTGCACTTTATAGGGCTTAAAACAGACACTAGTTGGATAAGATATGGGTGCTGTGGAAAATCAGCCAGGGAGTGGATAAAGGCTGCCCAGAAAATGTCCTCCACCAAATGAAACAATATCCAGAGCCCAGCTGGGAATTCCACTGCTGCTTTGGGTTTGGGGACTGTTTATTTTTATTTCTTGGCTCAAACCTTTCATTCCTGTCCTTGTCTCTTCTTTCTTCTCTCTCTCTCTCTCTCTCCCGCTCGATCTCCTTGCAGCCACAGCCCTGTTCTGTACATACACACGACCCAGCATTTCACACCACAATCTAAAAATATCCCTCGGTAGAAGCTTACTCTCTTGCAGGTGGCATAATGTAAAATTGATACCAAAGGTACATATAATATCCTGACCAGTCTTTGATTCATTTGGCCTGTAAGTTAAAGACCCAGAAAGAAAATAACCACAATTCACAGGGAAAAAAACCCTAATGCAAAGCGAGAGACTCTTTCAAGTGGCATTTTCAAGCCGTTTTTGTGGTGGGCTTATGTGATCAGACATAATTGTCTGCACATGTTTGGTTACACTGTTTCAGAAATGACTTCCAGCCCACCCGAAGACGTCAGAAGGGTCAATGTTGAGCCTCCAGAGTCTGAGTGCGGCTCTTTTCTGTGAGGCTCAGTTAGGAAAGAAAGATGCCAAAGAGCAGAAGTGTCAGACCCATTTCCTTCTGGACTTTCTTCAGTAATTTTTCACTATGCGTGTATTCTAGTCCTCACATGCTTGTGTTTTCCTTATGTTGCTCTCTCCCACGTATGCACACAACAAAGCTTTGTCTGGAAAATCTGTCTTATATCCCACACAAAGTCTTAGGAAATACATAAATGCACATGTGCTTAATGCCACACCCCAGAACTACTTCATTCCTTTGGAATCCAGTTTGGAGAATATACTTCTGCACCAAGATATCTTATGTTCTTCTAAGCAGGCATCCCAGCCAGCCAGCCATTGACATGGCAATAATAAACATCGTTAGCATAAGCACAAGATGAGAAGAATCCCCTTACTCTGGAAATCCTTTCTAGAAGGTTACATGATTTGCCAAAGTATGTTTAATAGGGTTGACTCTATGATGTGTCCTTCATCCCAAAGAAGGGCTTGCCAAATACTATGGAAACTTAGAAGCAATTCTGCCTGAAGAAGGTAGGACATAAAGAATTAATTATAAATGGTCTCAAGAGTCACCAAGACAACTGCTGGTGATTACCCAGCAATCTTCTCAATATCCTCATCAAATCATTAGCTTAACCATGTTGAATTGTCTAAGGATGGGGAGTTCTTGACTTATAAAGGCAGCCAATTCCATTTTCGGAGAGAACTCTGCCACACTCATCCATCAGAAGTTCAAGTGAAGTCCTTTCTACTCTGTGCTCTGATCCTACCCCCTTTAGATCACTGCTGATGAATCTATTCCCTCTATAAGATGGCAGCTGGTCTAAAGCCATTATGTACCACCTATATCTTCTCATTTAAGGAGTAGTAGTTCTAAATTTTTTCAACCAACCTTTCCTCATAGGATGAAATAGTTGGAATTGCCTTGACTCCTTCCAGACTAGCCATGATCAGGTATGATTTGACTAATGCAGAGTTCAAAGAGCCATCCCCTCCTTCACTGTGGACATCATACCTCAATTAAAGGTCATGGGTACTCTAATGAATCATGCCTATCTTGCCTTCTTTCCATCCCTAATTTACTTTAGTGCTAATATAAAAATAACAATAAAAATGATCCTTATCTACCAACCACATCTTTCTTCATTAGTCTTGAGCCAACAGCTCTCCTGGGGCCTCTCGTGACCTCTAAATGCTCAGAAAATCAAACCCGTTCTAAAGAACAGCCTCCTTTTCCAGGCTGTCCTCTTGTCCCAGCTTGCTGTCACCGCTGCTGAGAGAGCAGACGATTGATCTGAGAAATCAAGTTGGATTGCTGTCCCAAATCTACACCCGGGTCTCCTTGTGTCTGTCTGATCGATTTCACTCTGTGCGACATAGCTTGTCGCTACGAATTTTCATGCTAGTCAGGAGCCGCCAGTGCACCCAAGAACAAGTGGAAGATGGCCTGCACCCCTCCCCATCCCTCCGATACACCCAGCTTCTGTGTCAGAAATTTGTTTTCAAATCATCTATTGCCAGATTGGAAAAAGGTCTGTTTCTTTCTTTTTTTTTTTTAAGGCCACAAACCTGGGTGTGATGGATTTGGCCACTGGGTTTCCTCCCCAGGTTTCCCAGCCCCAGCTTGTGGTGACATTTCCTACCACTGTTGTACTAGGTGTCACCTGTTTAGCAGCTCCTCTCAGCTGAGTGTATGTGGCCGCAGGTGCCATGCAAACACTGATGGGGCCTGACAGCCCTAGACGCCAGCTGCCTGCACGAAGCCTGCCCAGTCGCCACTTTTTCTGTGGGCAGGATGCTGCCCGTGGCATGACCGATACAGAAACAAGAAACTAGGTGACCGGAAAGCTAAGACAAGTCCTACTAAGTGGCATTCTGGGCCCTATGGCTTTGAAATAATTGGGAGTGATAGAATAAAAACAAAGGGTCGGGGGAGTCTTGTTTTCTTACACTGATGCCCTGCGGACTGTACATCTGACTGGCTGCGAGTCCGTCACTGTATCCTCCTGTCTGGCTGATAACATGGCGAAGGGTATCCACCTAAACAGAGAACAACAACAGAGAAGAAATTAGTTCGGGAGATGTCAGGGAAGGGAGGCACATCACTGTCTTACAGGCTACCATTTGGGCAGGCCAGATTTATGCAATCATTCGCAGACATTCTTCTTGAGGAAGAAGTGTCCATTAGGAGGAGGTGGGGACTCTTGTTAATGCCAATTCCATCATCAGCTCGGAGTTCAGCAAGAAGTAAATGATGAAGGCAAACTGGGTTTCCAGCCTTGAAACTAATTCCACAGTGCTGCATGACACAGGGGCAGGAAAGGGCGCACAGGGGAAAGAGAATAAAGACATTTCTCTTTCTGTTTTTCTTCCCTGTAGATCATCCTATACAGCTTCTCCTTTGTTGAGTATCCTATAGCAATTAATTTTCTATAATTTAAAGGAGGCTTGGGCAGCCACCTCACAGAGAACAAGAATGTGACTAAGACCACAAGGCTTTGCGGGCTTTAAAGATGGCCAGTTGTTTGGTCCCTTGACCAGTGTTTGATTGGATCACTTCGAACCTGTCTCCAGGTGGTGTTTTCTGAGTAAGGGGCTGAAGCCCTGGCCTGCTGGTCTACCCCAAGTACATAGTGTTTCTTATTTCCCAGGCAGGGTGGGAAATTGGATCGACATGGTTCGGAACTTCCCTGTAACTCTGATCCAGAGCAAATAGCTTTATACTCTCGCATCATACTTCACCTCGGGACGCCTTCCTGAGGTGTCACAGAGGCAGCCAGATTACAAAGGAGCGCTGAGGTTTTATACCTGACTCGATTTTTACTCTCCAACATGGACTCATGACCAGAAACTCAAGCCCACTGACCTCAAGGATAACTTGGTTTTAAAGCTTACAATGAAAACATGGGCTGGTGACATATTTGCCTATTCATTTTTTCCTTACTTTGGCAAATATTGAATATGGAAAAATCAACCAGTGAGAAGGAGACCTAAAAATGGAGACAGTGGACTGAACTCCTCTTCCCTTTCCTTTTAGTCAATAAAGAATAGGCTGGTCCACTTGCCTAATATGTCTTGGTCACTTCACACTGTACTTGCTGTCCCCTCTCTCAGCTTCCTAGTGTGAGTGACAAGCCAGAGCCAAACACATTCACAAAGTGTGGACAAGATTCCCTAAAACAATGGTTGTCTTCGTTTTAGTTTGGTTGAGTTTGGTTTCCCCCTTTCTTTTTCTTTCCCTCTCTCTGGATAGAAGCAGGAAGCCAATATGACTGAGGGCGCTTGGACTCTAGTGCATCCGCTTGGCAGCATATTGGCTGGGTCCCTACCTGTGATTGCACGTTCGCTCCAACCTGGGCCCCTTGGTAAGAATCCCCATTGAGTGACTGCACGCTCATGAACAAATCTCCAGAGTTTGACATGTTAAAAGAACTGGAAGAACCTGGAAAGGAAAGAGTGAGGCACCTGAATCACAGAAAGGAAAAGGCTCAACCCCCGCAACTAACAGCCAAGAGGAAGAATGACATGCAAAGCAACCCCCAAATAAAAACTAAAATAACAATAACATCAACAGAGTCTGGTTAGTAGCATGAAGAACAGAGCAAGCAATAAAGGGTGCATGTTGTTGGTGTTATATGAAGCCACACCTTACTCTATGCTGTCGATGGGGACTGCCTCTGCTTAGCAAGTTCAAGTTGAGAAAGGGAACATTTATTCTTCTCAACTTACTCTATTGCAGATCTCTCTTTCATGCCTCTGAAATACTAGGGTTATCCAGGGGGCCATAAGATGGAGTACATGGGCTTATCAGTGGTTCTTCTGCTACCAGTGGAGCACATTAGCTATTCAACTGAATTCTAAATATGCTATTGTGAAACCCATCTATTCACATGGGGAATAGCACTAGGGAAGAGAGGACACAGAAGAATGTCATACATTAGGGCTGGCCCTGGAGTATCATGACATTCCTGATTTCTGCAAAGAAGGTCAAGTTCCTTGCAAGAGCCCAGGGAGCCATGAGAATTGCAAGAATACATGAGAATGATCTACTCTTCCCTGCTCTCTGTCAGGATGGAGAAGGACAAGACTGAAAAATGGGACAGGAGTTCTCAAGCATGCATGAAATATGAGATGATTATAATAATGATAATAATTTCTAAAGTGGGCCTCCAGAAGGGCAGCTAGCCATGGTTTTCACATCCCAGGGATGGAGGCTTTGTCCAGAGTCAGCCCTTTGGATCCACCCTAGTACTACCCAGGATCCACTGGCTCCATTGTGGTAAACCTTCCCCCTATCTCAACCTAAGCCCAAGGGCCAGCAAAAGCATCGTGCAGCTCAGTGCATTAGGAAAGAAAGCTCAACGTGCAAGGTTTGGTTAAAACACGACGTTAGCCTGGAAAAGAAGAGACCTCAGGGACCCAGGTCAGTTGCATTCTTTATTTCAAACCCTACACTGCTTAAATGGTGCTCTTGCCCCAGTATTCTGAGACAGCCATCATCAGTGTGGAATCGCCCAACCATGAGTCATGCCTCAGCTCTGACACTCGCTTTGTTTGCCCCAAGATAAGGATCTGTGTTCTCTTAGAGAACTGCCCTGCTTCCCATGGAGAGCAGCAGCTAAACGGGAGAAGCCTGCTGTGTAAAGGACTACTTAACAAGTGATATGTTCAAAACTCTGCTCCTGCGCTCTGTGCTTATCATCAAGCTTCAAAGGCAAGAGCTAAACAGGGGAACAGGATGATTTACAAATAGTGGGACAACCACAAGTGAAAAATATCTCCAACTTTCTTTTTTTCTGTGGGATTTTCAACTACATGCAAGGCACTATAAAACTGATCCTTCATCTAGCTTGCACCCCATTTCTACTTTCTCAGAGAAAAGGCAGTGAGGCAGTGCTTTCTTCAGGGGGACTCGGGGAAAGCTCCAGCATCAATCAAAGGACTGCGACATTTTCACAGATCCTGCCTCATTTGGTATACATTTTTTCCTCTTTAGTTTATCTAAGAGGAAGTAGAAGAGTTGAATCTTAGCAAAGTAGGCATAAGAGTTGACTAGGCGTGGCTTACACCCAGTAAGTAGGATGAAGGCTTTGACCTGGAACTTCCTTTCATTAATATGGTACATACATTTGAAGGTATCCCCCCAACCTATGGATGAGGCAAGGGTTAGCACAAGTCCCATTCTCATGTTAATATAATAGCCAGGGCTCTATATACTGGTTATAGCTCCTTCAAATCTGTTTTGTAATCACAGAGATAAAGCTTAAATAATAGCCATTGCAGTAAATGTCACAATACATGCTTGACCTAGATGTCACCAGAAACAAGATCCCAAATTATAATGGTTTTTATGTCGTCAGACTTCTCCTTCCACATCCCTGTGGAAGGAGTGCTGAGTTCGAAGCCCAGGTTTCTTATTTCTTTACCCCCACAAATACCATGTATGGTTTGCTGGTGGTTTACTGGAAATCAACACACAAGCTGAGAGATGGGAGAAACCCTCAAAGGGCTACACAATGCCAAGTAACATGGCATCCATGGAACCATGAAGGCATGGAATGTTCCATTTACAAGATGTACACTGCAATTGACACAGATGATTTAAAAATATATGTGCATAGATAAATTGTAAATATGTCTGGCTGCCTAATGTACACAGAGATAAATATGCGCATATAAATGTACTTCATGTACAAATGCATTTGTATCAGAGGAGTAATTGCCAAAATAGTCCCTTGTGCTCTTGGCTGTGCTGTTTCAGCATTTTACAGTCTCTGTACACCCAGGTAAAAACACTACCATGGTTTCTGACTCTCTGATAAGTAACTAGAGGCAGTGATTTAACTGGAGGAAAAGAGCAGGTGCCACTGGATGACAATAAAGCAGGGAGAAGACCACACAACAATCTGAACAAGGAGGGGCAGCCAAATTCTCCATCCAGCACTGGAAGTTGGAAAGAACTTGTCACGGAGCAGACAGATCCCTGAGAGCACAACTTTTAGCCAAAAATGAATGGGCTTTCTTGGAGATGCTGTGAATTCTCTAACAGCTGATATGGTTATCTAGCTGCTGCCTGGGAACCTCATCTGCAGATTGCTGAGGAGTAATCAGCAATCACTAGAATTACGGTTTAAGATGTGGCTCAAAGTTTAAAAGATCTGAATTTGGTTTAAGAATGGAGGCAAGTTTCTAGTTTAAACTGCTGCAGAGAGATCCAGGACACGCACAGAGACACATCTACAGTCAACTAGATAGAGAAGAAAAGGATTACCCAGGATTCTAGTACATTTGCTTGGGCAACATCATGACATAGAAATGTGCTAACACTGATTTTCATTAAGCCAATTTCCCAAAGATTGCATGCCTACTTTAAAGAAGCTTTAGAAAATTCATGTTTTTCAGAAAAAAATGAACAAAACAAACCAAAAAACCCCCACCAAAAACCAAATTAATGTCACAACCTTCTATCCAAAGTAGAATAATAATACATAAACCTAGAACAATATAACAGTAAAGCCCATAGCAAGATTTCTCAACCTTGGTACTACTAACATTTATATCAAGGAATTATTTGGTGTGGAGAACATCTTATCTTACAGATTGTAGAATGGTTAGTGATGTACTCTGTCTCTATCCACTAACACCCTCCATCCAAAATTGTGACAGCTAAAAATGTCTTCAGATATTACTCAATGTCTCTGGGGTTCAAATTTACCCCCAGATGGGAATCAAAGACCTAGAACAAGAATGAATTTACTTGTTCCTCCTAAGAATCTCAAAGAATTTTCAAGTATTGGTTCATTATTTTTCTCTGAGTGCACAATTTTTATAAAGTAGCAGTATAGCAAATAATTGCCTTAAATTCTCAAGATAGATGATGTTACCAGCGTGATGAGAATGAGTTCCCACACCAGTTGGAGGCACAAAATATAGATCCTCTTTACCAGATGCAAACTGTGTTCTGTCTCATGCTTTCTTTCAAGAAAAGGCCCTCATTTTCCTAAGGGCTCTATTCATGTTTTCATAGCTCAAAAAAATAAGAGATTGAAGATGTATCACTCCAGGTCTCCATCACTCCATCACCAGGTCTCTTCTGAGGACATATGAACTTAGATTTTTATGATTGCTTCAACTGCTCTCCATTTTTGCCTTCTTCATTCCAACTTCCCTTCCTGTGATTCATCCTTTCCCTGCAACTGTCTTGCTCACCTCTGCTGTGAAGCAGCCTAAATGCTTCTAAATGCTTGTCAATTCCCCAGAGGTCCCAGTCCTACATAATGTTTATGAAGAATGCTTAGAGAAAAGGAGACAAGGTAAATTTCAACAAATGGGAAAAGATAGAAGTGGCCTAACTAAATGTTCTGCTGACTCCCACAAAGAAACCTCTAGAGGGAACATTTCCTTGCAGTAAAAATGAGTATTTACACTGAATAAAATTTCTGGGAAAAAAAAAAAAAAAAACTCCTGCTTCACTGTTGAGGATCTAGAAAGTTTCTTGGAACTGGGAGAGGTGTGCACACGTGTAATCTCAGTACTCTGGGAGGCTGAGGTAGCAGGACCTCAAGTTCGACCCCAGCCTGGAAATTGAGTGACTTAGCGAGAGACCCTGTCTTGTAATAAAATTTAAAAAGGGCTGAAGATGAAGCTCAGTTGTCCTGAGTTCAATGCCAAGTATTGCAAAAATAAAATAAAATAAAATGAAATGGAATAAAATATTTCCTGTTTACAGAACTCTAAACTTCAAATTCTACCAAAATATATTGTCACATATTAACCTCTTAATTAAAATTTGTGGCAGGCACCGTGGCACACGTCTGCAATCCCAGCCCTTGAAAAGTTGAGGCAGGAGGATCTCTTGTGAGTTTGAAACCAGCCTGGTCTACATAGTAAGTTCAAGGCCACTCTGAAGTATATAGCAAGACCCTGCTTCCAAAACAAGAACAAAATGAAAATGAAAACAACTAAATACATGTATGTTAATTTTAATTATAATTTCTATTTTCAAAGTATTAAAAGCCAATAGAGCATAATATACACCCTATATAGCAATTGGAACATTTATCACTTTATCTGTGTTGGGTGAAGCGTAGAATAAAATACAGGAAAGCCCATTTCTAACTTTTCCTGGTAGGATATTTCTTTTAGGCATTGTCTTCCCAATGTGTCAGACATTGTCTTCCCATGGTCACGTTTACAAAACCCAGTCCACTTTTCACACGATTGCACATGTACAGTGGTGTGTTCTTTGGTCTCTGATTTAGAATAAACACTACAAAGGGTTCTTCTGAAGGCTATTTCTAACAACATAAGCACAAATGGAAGGTTTAGCTCAAATTTTCTCTAATAACTTATTTTGTGCTCAGACTAGTCACATGAAGTTTAAGGTACCAGAAAAATCCCTTAGAAAACTAGTCACAGACTGGCATCCTTTAAGAGCCCACATATTTTTTAAACAGGGGTTTAAATGCTTACTTTTCTCTTTGTAAGGGCTTTAGGAAAGAATAAATAGTTACGGATTTAGTAATGAAGGGAGTCCACAGGGCCCTTCTAAGGACTAGCCATAAATCATGCTAAGCCATCTGCGATGCAGATATATCAGGGACAGGGAAAAAGTCATTTTGATATCTGTTTTGCATTATGATAACCTTTGCAGGAGTGTTGAGTGCATTTTTTGCTAATGTTGACAGAATTGTACTTCTTCCAAAGAGACAAGTGAAAATGTCTGCCTAGCAGTGCAGCGCTGCTCAGTCTGAGATGCTTAATAATTGACCAGATGGGGAAGAAGGAAACTCCCTGGTTATTGAACCAGTTAGCCTTGATCCTTTGTCAATCACGCCAGGATGGGGAAAGAAGAGAACAAAACGAAAGCTTCAAAAAGCAAATATGCGTCTCATGGCAACTCAAGCTGCCGAGCTGGGAAAAGGAAAATTGCACTAAAGTCTACATTGTCTTATCATGGCCATGTTTACAAAGCCCAGTCCACTGTTCATGCCTGATTCCATTTAAACAAAAGGAGGTGAGGACTGTATGGCCTAGTGATGTGGAGAAAGTTATGATAACAAATCAGTGCATCTAAATGCTCACAGAAGATATTACTGTGTGGAGTCCTCCACGTTTCGAATAACAAGCCACCTTATGGTAGAAAGAGGACATTTTCTTAGTGGACAAACAGGCTTTGGGTCAAAGATACCAGGTACTCTAAGAAATGCTAGAAATTACATTTGCAATCTTATTATAATTAAATATATTTAAATTTGTTATTATTTCGTTGGTGCTATTAATGTTCTCAGATGCACACTCCCCAGTCAAAATCAGCACAACTTGTTTAGTGTGGATAATACCATAATCTGATACTAAAATTTATTTCATAAGAAAGTATTTGTTCTTCCCTTAACAAAAATAAAAGTGAACCATTTCTTCCATAGCATACAAATACTGAAGTTATATTTTACGCATAAGTGAAGTTTTTTCACTGTGGAAATTCAGAACTGATGGCCCAATGCATACCCAAAAATATATTATGTCCCAACTAACCTCTAGAATTAGTGATACAATGTGTATTCACTAAAATAAAATTAAATCCTACAGTGCAGCACCCAACTGATACTATGACATGAAAATTAGAACCTGAATAATTTGAATCAATGACTGGCAATTTTCTATGCAGTTTACACTAGGAAAACCAATGAAATAAAAATAAAGAATAGCCACTGTAAATAATGTATAGAAATAATTGTAGCCTGGCTTAGCAGACCAGAATTTTTGCTAATGATATTGCTAGAATGACTATTCCTGCATTGAATGCATGCTGACAGGTGACTCAAACTTTACATAGTGAGAACAGCAAAACACACAAGGATAAAAACTTTATGAAAAAGACCAAATAGATGAGCTCCAAGGAACTATCTCAATCTTAAATTTCATGTGTTTATTGGAGTCTCTGCATTTAGAGGTGTCATCAAAATCAAGCACTATACCTCTGCCTCAACATAAGCAGATACATCAATGCAAACAAATTCCTAGACAACACCATCCTGTAAACAGCATAACACATTGTTTTTGGATATGAAAGGAGGAACCCAAAGTGGTATCAACAACACAAAGGATAATTAGGTGCATACATCAACCAATCAAAAATTTGCAAAATTAAAATAAAACCCAAACCCAGTACAAGAAATGCAAGTACAAAAATGGAGAACAATCCCCCAAAATCAAAGAAAAAACTAACCAGCTGAGTTGGGAGTGGAGGGTGAGTTAGCTTGGCTTCCATGGGCTGACACATTGGTAGCAGTGACAGCCGTTTTGGCAGCATAAATATTGGCTTCCTCTTGAAATTTACCTATGTTCTTCTTGTACCGGATTCGCTTATTTCCAAACCAGTTTGATACCTACAGCAATTTAAAAGAAAATAAGAGACTGAACATTTCATTCTTTACAAACATTGCAGAAAGAAAAGAAGGGCTTACAATAGGGATGAAGAGGTAGGCGAACTGTTCTTATCCTATTGATGATTTTGCAACGTCAATTAAGAGAACTGAAGTAAGAGCTCTGAACAGAAAAACATAAACTGAGATTCCCTTGTTTAATAAAACTAAAATCTAGCAAAACCACTGTGATTAAAAAAAAAAAACAACTTCCTATAGGAGATCTGCTCATTTAAGCCAGGACTCTTTTAATTTAGAGCAAGCATTTTAAATTTGCTTACCACTTAATTTATGACACTAAAATAAACACACCAAGAGAAATGCCTGTTTCTTATCAATGCTAAAGCTGACTTAGCACAATTAAAATACACAGACCTTTAAATATCCATATAAATCTATATTAACATATGGATGCTTTCATGCATAAATTAATTTCAATTTTTAGAAGTTTAAATAACTTTAATATGGACTCAGATTCTTTGCTGCAGACTTTATAGACTTCAGGATCAATATAACTCCATCCAATACGTTTCATCCAGTATTTAATGCAAAACTCAGTGTTATCAACAGAAGGAGAAGCGGAAACACACACTGATTATTCCTTTGGAGTCCAGGCTTTAAATGTTAAAGCCAATATACACAATAAGCCTAATTTACTTTCATTTGTTAATTTATTTCCTTCATGTGGCTCACAGCAGCTGTCCTAGTTTGATTTGGGACCTCTCGCCTTTTATATAAAGACCACTGCCAGAAACAAGAGGAGACACAGTCAAATTCAAGTTGAGCCTCATAATTCCTGCCTTGGGGAGGAAAGTTTCATACCCCATATTCCAGATGTGATTTTTGAACTAAAATGTTGTATTTTGTATGTAATTACAAAACAAACTATGAATTTGGTAAGGGAAAAGTGAATTGAATACATATGTACCATGGCATGTAGACAATTTATATTCACCCTTGCTCCATCAAATGGCAGATGAAGAAAACTCTTGCAAAACCACTTTTTAAAAAAAATTCATCAAAAAGTTAAAACACCTTATAAAGTCAGCCCTCAATGTCTGTACAATTTAGGCAATAGCAAAAATGCTAAGCCTTTGTTATAAAAATCAAACTTGATCATGGCAATATTTCCACACAAGAGAGAAAAAAATTCAGTAACAAAATGCTTTAGTGTAGATCTAGAAAAAAGTTAAACTGAAAGAGTTTATTTCATTAAATATCTAATTTCACTTTGAAATTCATGCTTTTCTTGATACTACCTTCACTATTCATATCAATCAGTCCTGGTTATCATGGCATTTTTATTTATATGTGGAATAGGATGAGAAGAAAACAAGAAGGAAATTTTTCAGAGTTAACTGGAAGAAAAGATGTGGGTAGTTTACAAGGACTTTTAAAGGAGACAATAAATGCTTAAAATTCAACAATATCACATATGTGAAAAGAGATCAAAGGCAGTGGGGTGTAGGGGGGACCTGTTTGTAGGTCACATGTGAGAACAAGTCCCTTTTAGATAAGAACAGAAGTGGTTAGGAAGATGCTATGTCTGTTCAGGCATTTCTTATACTGTCTACTATACAATGGATGCACAGACAGCATTCTCATTAATTGGCTAATTGTTCAATAGTCACATACTAAGAGCCTAATATGTGTTGGGCACTAGGGATGTACACAAGACACAATACGAGCCAGAAAGATTTTATGGGGAGAGTTTAATTCCCATCATGAACTTGATAAATTACATGAGTCTATAGTAGAGCCACTGTGAAGTCTAGTAGGAGACAGAATATGAGTTTGGTGTTCTACAAGAAAAGTCCCATGTAGATAATCAAGTGGAGGGATGGACATTTGTAGCTATGTGTGAGTAGACCAGTGTGTTTGAGAGTCAAGTGCTCATGGACAGCTTGTGAAAAATGTTTCTGGTCCCACTATTGGAGATTCTGACCCAGGATTCTACAGCAAGTTCACAGAGCTTACATTTATTTCTCACATACTCCTAGGCATAGCTGATGGACCATACTTTGAGGAGCACTAGTATGGAAGGAGCAATCTTTACAAGTCTAGGGTGAATTCATTTCACATGGACTTGGGTGTATGAGCATATTTTTGTTAGGGGTCAGGAAGAAATCAATAGCTTTCAGTGGATTACAAAAGAATGTATGACCACCAACTCATGTCAAAGAACCCTTGGCTGGGTTATGTAGAATATGAGAGCTAAAGAAAGAACAAACATAGTTGGAGGCTAGGTAAGAGAGTAGACCCTCTAAGAAGACAGGGCAAGAATTGCCTAGAGAACAGCAGGGAGCTTAGAGAAAACTGTATCTAGGAGATCAAGGTAGGAAAACTTCAAGGAGAGTAGTTATTAAAAAAAGACAAAGATAGTAAGTAATACCCTGCTTAGATATGGAAACTTGGGAGCATATTTAATATATGACACAACCAAGTATAATTTGTAGATGGGATAATGAAAATTCCCCAAATTAACAAAATATGCTCATACAACTAAGTCCATGTGAAATGCATCTAATAACTATATTTTCCCTAGAATTATATAGTTGACTCTTCTCAAAAATGTGTCCCCAACAATGTTGGTTCTATGAACCATACTGTATTGTGTCCCTTGAGGAATCATTCAGCAATGGTGTAGCAAACTGTTGCTCTTGGGAGGCGGGGATGAGCTGAGGGGGAAGGAAGAATGCAGGCTTTAGGGAGGGTTGGGAAAAAGAAAGTGATAGGGTATGTAAATAATGACTGTACCAATAAAATATGTGCACTTGAGTTTCTGTAATAAAAAAGTGAAAGGCTGTTGGAATAGAACAGAGTTCTACCTTTTTTTTGTACTGGGGATTGAACATAGGACCTTCTTACTAAGCTACATTTCCAGCCTTTTAAATTTTTTTTTTTTTTTAGTCAGGGCTCTACAAAAGTTTTTATTTAGCTGTGAATAGGTTAGCTCCAGAAGGGTTCATTTTTATTTCTAGAGGGATTTGAAATTCTGAACCCCAGACTTGGCATTCTGACAGTAGAGTGATTTAATTCTACTTTAGAAGCAGAAGATTCCAGGGTCTTAGGAGTACATCTCAGTTTTACATCATTTGCCTAGTGTGGGCAGTGTCTGGGGTTCAATCTTTAGCACCAGAGAAGGAAAAAAAATGAAGATTACATAACTGGACTGCACTAATTTGTAAGTTAATGTTGTGATCCACACCTTGAGCTATTCTTCAAACATGCAGACAATCATGAAAGAGCATTATTACTTTTTTTTTTTCTGTAAACATGGGGTCTACATTCAGACAAGAATGGTCACTGCCCCAGGGAGAAAAAAAAAAAATTGGCTACTTGATTTTTTTTTTTTTTTTTTTTGGTTTTTCTCCGGTACGGGGAACCGAACTCACGACCTTGAGCTTGCCAGGCAGGCGCTTTGCTGCTGAGCTAAATCCCCAGCCCTTAGGCTACTTGAGTTTGAGTACTGATTTCTGTTTTCCCAGAACTGTCAAGTTTGGAAATGACCTTCAGTGAGATCAAAATGCCTGAAGAGGAGGGCCTCCATTAAAAAGGAGTCTATTCATTCTGCCTTATCCAGAGGAATTTTTCCAAGGACATTTGCTGCTGATAACTTATCCACAGATTTTTGGTGAAGTTTAAGTGATCCTTTCCTTATAAATACCTTTGGTGGTGCTCTCCTCTATTTTGACTGGATCTAATTTTGCTTCACTAAGCACAGCTTGATAGATCTCCCTACTGGGAGAAACAGAGCCAGGATTGAATTTAAGGATGTACAGATGCTTGATTTATATAGAACAGCATCTACTTGGTTTGAAAAATATTTAGTGAAGTTTCTCCTCAGAATAGACTTCTTGTCCACTGCTCCTTGTCATCCCTTAATGGAAACACCAGCACACTTAGTTCTCTTGTAAGTAATGTAATTCTGAGAAAAACTCTCTGACAGATTTCAGGATTCTCACTAAAGGTCTCAATGAGAGACTCAGATTCATACTTGAAAGTCAGACTGAATAAGAAGTTTGAATGGACTCTTGGAGCAGAAAAACATAGATGTATATAACTATTGCCTACTTATCTACTTCATATTAATGTTGAAGACTCCAAGTGTATAAAATTTTATATCATGTACATTTCCAACTCAGCAGGTACTGGCTACAGTTAACGCATTTGGGGAAAGGAGGCCCTCAGTGACATTTTGTGCAACTATTCCAAAGCAGTAATGAGACATGTTAAAATTCCTTCATTCTGCCAGTTAGGGACTGAACACATAAAGAGAAGACATTTAATTCCCTTTCCTTTAAGGCCACAGAATGACTAGTTTCATTCACTGACTCTTAAAGTCAGTGAGTAAAAAGTGGACTAAGTAAGGAATTGACTAAGTTTCAGAAAATACTATGAGAAATATAGGTGGCTTTCTAAGTACATGAAGAAACTCCATCCATTCAAAGTAAGGAAGTGCTCAGTGGGAAGAACTTTATTCTTGCTTTTGCACTGGCTTCTTCCTGTTATTCTCTCCCTTCTGATAGGTCCTTTCACATTTTTCAGGAACTTACCTTGAAGCTCTCTTGCACATATCAAGTGCTTCCTTTACTATCTTGCAGCTTTAGCTAACGGAATTTACAAGGCATGGGTGTTCAGGAAAGCAAGATCACCAAGAAGACCTACTATGGCCAGACTGCAGGCTGGGCCTTCTGAGGGGCTCCTTACCTGGGAGACCGTGATGCCACACTTCTTGGCTAGCTCCTCTTTGGCTTCCTCACTGGGGTAAGGGTTGCTGAGATGGGAATAAAAATACTCATTCAGGATCTCCGTTGCTTGCTTGTTGAAATTCCGTCTCTTCCGCCTCCATAAAGAGAAAGGAAAGGAAACAGCAAAAAAGTTTACACCAAACAAATATAAGGGACAGAACAGGATCGATTTCTGAGAGATGATACATTTTTGAGCAAAAGATGAATTAGATATTTGCCAAAAGGGTCTGGATACTGAAATAATGAAAGACATTTGGTCAGTATGGTGCTGTGCACCAGTGAGAAGAATGGTGGTACATAAGATGCAGGCCACCTTGGTTTTGAATCATTGGTCAACTGGATATCAGCAGGGTTATTTGGGTTGCCTCTTTAAGTCTCAGTTTATTCAACTAAAAATGAGGAGTCATACTGTACTCACAGGGTAAAAGAAGGGAGAAAGAAAGAAAGCCACACACAGACATCACTCAGCACAGTGCCTGATACATGTCAACAGCTAGAACATAGTGGTGACAATTTAAACTTTAGATATACAATGACCCCCCCAAATTCTCAAGCATGTGGAAGATGACTGGGTGAGGTGGTACTAGATCATCAGTGTATCCATTGATAGCTCAGTATCTGAAAGTGTTACTGGGAGGTAGGGCTTGGTTGGAAGTGGGTCATTGGAGGACTGACCTAGAAGGGTGTATTCTTATCCCTGGTTCCTCTTTTTTCTCTCTACTTCCTGGTTGCCGTGCCCTTGTGTCTTATTCCTGCTTTGGGTTACACTGACCATGGACTGAAACCCTGAGCCTAAATAGACCTTTCCTTCTTTAAGTTTTAGGTGTCAGGTATTTTGTTGCAGTGATGGGAAAGTGAGTATAACACAATTCTTCCTACGATGTCATAGCAATCAATTCAAGTGATTCACTTCCAGGACTAGTAAGGCAGACATGCTTATTCCTATTTACAGCTGAGAAACCCCATTCAAAGGTCACTTAGCTGGTATGCTGTTGGAGAGCCAAAATGTTAATTCAGGTCTGCCTGACTATGAAACCCAATCTCTTCCTTCTACATGAATTGGCTGCTGGCACAGAGATTCTGCAGCCGCAAGTTAAAAATAAGTTATCATTTTCTCTCCATTCTATCCTCATATAAATGGATGCAATGTTTTAAAAAGGCATCTGGGAAGAGGGCAATGAACTGACTGAAATTAACCCCATGACTGCCTGACCTCCTTCAAAAGGAGAAAAGAAGTATTGCTTATGCAGGAACAGCTGCTAAATGGTCAAACAAAAGCCCAAAGAAATCATTTTCAAATACAGGTTGCCAAAAGAAGACTACTTTTCAAATAAAAGCTTGCTCTGCCTTATAAAAAAAAAGTGTTAACTGAAGTAATTTCAAGTGAGAATCACTTTATTGCTTCCTTCCAGCTCAGGCCTATAGATAGCCAGCGCAGCTGCTGGGGGACTCCAGGTTCATGGCAGATCCGGTTGGCTTTCCTTGAAGTTGTGGGGCCTTCATCTTCAAATTATCTCTATTAGCACTTTTGTCAAATGCTTTTTCTTATAGAAAAAGATTTCCAGAACATCTCTGGCTATGCCAGAATATAGACTTTCCCAATTTACCCAACAGAAAGCATGGATGGCCTTGCTAGGCAGGAAATTCAGCTAATATTGTATTTTCAGGGTCCCACTTGGATTAATTAACACAATAAAGTACCTGATTTTACCGGATGAACACCATCTGTCCACAGGTATTAACCACATCTGTCCAGATTATGCCAAGCCCAAGTCACTCTCCCATATCATGCTGAGTTTCTGGGTCACCCAGCATCAGAAATTGGACAGATTGGATTAAAAGGCCCAAGTAAAAGGTAGGCATGTATTAAAAGCTCTTGCATGATGGGAATTTGAGGAAGATAGCCAAGTGGCTGATGCTGGTCTGTACATAACCTTTGGTGGTTGCTTCTTTGCCTGAGGAAGGCAGTTGTTTTAGGCCTGGAGAACTAGACCCCAAAGACTCCCCTAATTGTGAGAGTCTCCGTTCATTCATACGGTTGTTTGCATTAGCATTACAGTGTATTTTTTGGGACTCTTCCAATTGAGCTCAAAGGAAACCTCCCCGGAATGAGCTGGTGGTGTGGGGATGGTGCAGACAGCTGTTCCTGGCTCTTTCTGTGTTGTGATGCTCACTCTTCCCTGGGTGGTCTCGTCCATTCTGATGGATACACTCATCACCTCTTTCAGTAGTCCTCTCAACCTATGGCCTCTGACACTGTAGGATCAGGATATTTTTAGAGTTTCAGAAAATATAGGCCATTTATGTCCAAGCTAACTGAGACACCTGATTTCTTGGCCTAACCTGGAGTGAGTTAACATATCTATTTTCAAGCCAATCAGACACTTGGGTAGTTGAGTGTCTCAGTTTTTAATGTAAGAAAAGTAGATGCTGATTAAATATTACTAAATAAATAGAATACTTTAGGGATAGAAATCTTCTGGATCACAAGGTCACAGGACACATTTATCATAAAAGACTTGTAATAGCAAGAGTCATAGGCATCACAGATTTATACTGGTAACTACAAACTGTGCCACCTCCTGCACTAATCCCTTTCCTAAGAGCCACAGCCCTATTTAACCACTGCTGACTCCAGGCAGCTGTGTGCAAATGTTTCCAAGACTAACATCGCCTTTCACCCAAATCAGTCACATCTCCTTTCTTACCCATACAGTTGCATGACACCAGCACATATACAATTTGTTGTGGTTGCCAATTTGTTCATTCATTCAGTGATTCCCTCAAATATTTGAGTGCCTGGTTTGTGCCACCAAAGAGGGCTGATTTTCAGGACCTCTTGTATTATCCTCATCAGATAACTGACCCCAGAGAAAGCTGTGCCAGTCCTGCCCTTTCCCATCTCTCTTTTGTCTCCTCCTACTCTTGTCACCACTAGTTTTGAAACGGGTTTGGATGAGGCAACTGCTGTCCCATGAACCAGTGTGATCCAGGAGCACCTTTTGTGACAAGGGAAGGTGTGTTGTACTTTGAGCCACACATACAGTAGCCATTAACACATGTGCTTTGTGCATTTGAAATGTGGCTAGTGTAGCTGCAGAACAAAGTTCCAAAGTATCATGTATTATAATTTGGTATTTTAATTAATTTAAATATAAAAACAAATAGCTCTATACAAAGCAGTATAAATCTAGACTGATACTTTCCAGGGATAGTGCCCAAGCAGCCCAGCTATGGCACACCTCAGAAAACACAAAATGCTACAATGACCTCCTAGTTTTCTCTGCTTCATGGTACACAAATGTTCACCTTCAAACGAGAAGTTTCTTTTGAATATTTGCATAACACACAAAAGGTATTCCATACTTAGACTCTCCTGCTCCACTCTCGGGATTAAAGGCTAAAGTTACAGTTTGTTATAGTTTTTCGCTGATTCAGTTCATGTTCTAAGGAATCACTAGAGCCATCTTCTTAAACCATGAATCCACTCATGGGATGACACTGTGCAGAATATATAGATAATATGGTCATCACTATTATTACAGCTGAATCACACACAGCAAGAATTCTGTGTGCCAAACATTATGCCAAGTTTGTTTTTCATACAGTGCTATCTATTTCTGTTTACAGGATTATCCCTATTTTACAGGTATAAAAACTGAGTGTTCAGGAGAATGAGCCTCTTATCATCAAGACTGCGGAAAGAATCTGAATCCAGTGATAGAGCTTATCTAGTATTTTCCTATATTCTTTCCCAAAACAGCTCTGAGAGTTTCTTCAGTTTAACTGGGCAGACACCAAATCTTCACTGGTAAAGCTAAGGCTTTTTGGCAATCCATTTTATTTCCTAGATCTACGCACTGAACAATTTTTTCTATCCATGTCATTTAGCTATGCACTAGCCAAAGACCCTGGTGGGTGTCATGCTCCCCTAGATCTTCACATCTCTTTCCCCTAGCACTTCCCAAACTTTACATATGGTGCCCAACTAAATAGTAAATTCCACAAGGGTATAAGGCATGCCTCAGTCATATTTGAAATCTTTGTATCCAATTGATAGTAAGCACTTAAATAAGTAGCGTTTATCAAATTTGAGTTAAGTTGTTCTGCTTTGCTTATTACCCCTTCTATTTGGCAAATGTCCTGCTCTTCTGGAATTCAGTATGGTCTGTCCTCTCCTTGGATCTGCTTTGCTTCAGGTGAGGTTGATTGATGGGCATACTTAGAGTGTAGCAGACACTTTTCTGTTTATTTTTAAGATTGTGCGTCCCATGAAATGATGAACTCTGTGAAAGTTGGACCCATATTTATATGTATTTTTGTCATCTCTGTCATTTCTACTGGTTAAAGAGTATCTGGCCAATACTACAGACTCAGTTTGATATATAAATAGGTATAGATTCAGTGTCATTTGATTAGAGCTTACTGGATTTCTTTTTTTTTTCCTTGCCATTTTCTCTTTGGTAATTCACTTCGTCTAATCTCCTCTATCTGTATAAAGTGCATAAGCATATCTCTAATCATCTGCTTATGTTATTATTGCTGTTCTGAACAAAACACTACAGAAAAATTCATTAAAGTTTTGTTTGAAAATCATTTAGAGGGTTTATAAGTACCCGCACACACCCTTTAAGAAAAACTTTATAGTTCTGAAAAAACGTACCAAGCAGATAGCACCATACTTTATGCACAGCAGTAAGATAACAGATATTGAATGAATGAGGGAAAGAATGAGTGGAATTTTTAAGGTGCACTTTCTGGCACGGTTAATATAAGGTAGGGAAAGGACATGACCTGAGTAAGACACACCTCAGCCAAGTGCTTGGCCAGAAACTGTGCTGGGCGGAATGCTAATGTCCCTGACCCTGGTATGCGTATCTTCCTGTGCCAGTGTCTAGAGCAGCAAATACAGTGGCCTGTCGCTCCTACAATTACATTACTATTCAGTTCACTTTGAGTAAATAAAAAGGGAGACTTGGTTAAAGCTAAAATTAGAGTCTGCCATGTTCAGGAAGAGAGGAAGTAGTGTGGTTGTGTGGTGCCACAGAGAAGGGTAGGCTCCAGGAATGGCGGCTCTCAGGCTGGGAGACCTCAGAAACCACCTTCGTCAAGCAGGCAGGAGCTTGGAAGAGGACCCTGAGCTTCGATGCCATCCTGACCTCAGCAGACACCTTGATCATAGTTGTGAGGATACTAAAGCAGAAGACCTGGCAGAGCTAGACCCAAACCCCTGAGCGACAGAAACTGGGAAACAATAAACCTGCGAGGTAATCTGCTCCGTAGCAATGGATAGCTAAGAGAAGGCGTGTCACACAGCAAAGTAATAACAAGCAATGCTACAAACGTATTAGATTTCAAAGACTAATCCTTTTACTAAATCAAGTCCTCTTTGTATTTTATTTGCTTTCTATGAAGTTCTGTTTTTCTTTTTTTTTGGATGAGGCCCTGCCTGTCAGACCCATGCTGTAGCACAGCATGTGAGTATCGACAGTGAGTACTGTATGTCTTTCTTACTACATTTTGCTTGGCTCTCTCTCCCAATTATAGCTAGAGACATGAAAGAAATGATGTGAATTTTCCAATCAGGAAGTCTGGGCAAACATTTGTTTGTGAGCTGGGAAAGCCATTTGCTCAGCCTTGGGCTGGCATTTGGGGTGATGTTGTTTTGTGGATAATAAATATAGCCACAAAATAAAATGATAATAACAATGACAGCAGGTCAATTGTTTCAGTTTTGGATCTTGGCTCGGGCACAATGATTTAAAGGTTGCAAGCAAAGCAAGAAAGAGACCCTGTCTTACAGAGATCGTCCCTCTGGTGCCAGCTGGAACAATCCAAGTTGAGGCCAGTGGAAATGAAGGGAACGGTGTACAAAGCCCGTCTCTTCTGATGTCTTTTAGAATCTGACCTTCAGATGGCCACAGTAGAATTACTGCATGAAGAAATCCAAGGAGACAATGATTCTGCTCCATGTTTTTTACTGATTTCATTCTTGAAAAGAACTCAGTCTGGACCCCAATTTTTCTTTTCTTTTTTTTTTTTTCTTTTTCAACTATCTGCCAACATAAATACCAACTCCAGCATTTTAACTAAGGGAGTTTCCATGGGGATGTGAGCGACACATACACTGTGCTGGTTGTGGGAGCAGCACAAACAAGGACCCACAGTGAGGACCTGCCCTTGGCACCGTATGGAGCGGTACGCATTAAAGAAGCCAGGCTCGTAGCAGCTCACGAGATGAGGAGGATGTACTGAGGGTCCTGCTGCGGGGGGATCTCGCCCACTCCCTCTCCATCACTAAACCCAGCTGACAGAAACTGTCTTTGTGTTAACTTCTTTTGACTTTATGAAATTCCATTGGCCCAGAGATACATTTTGCTCACTGGCAAGCTCATTTTGTATTCCACACAACCCAGAATACTTCAGATAAAGGAGGAGGTTAGAAGAATGCCAGGAGCTTTGAAGAGGTCTCTGAACTATAAGGGCTACAATGGTGAAGGGAGAGAAATAAAACACAGGGAAGAAAACTGAATAACATATGATTCAAGGAGGAGAAAATCCAAGAGAAACAGGGACTCTTTCTGTCTGACTGAAAAAAGACAAAACTACAGATCATAAATGGTCTGATCTTGACAGCAAATATCCTGTGTAAAAGTCATAGATTGAGATGACTTTCAGCAACTGAAATAATTTGGGATGAGCAGGAGATCCCAATGCATATCCACACTCTGAGAGATGTGTTTGCTGGACATGTTATCAAAATATTCTTCTAGAAGAGAGAGAAGATACGATTATCACCTTTCAGGCTTGATAACAGAAGTGAAAAGAATCTCACGGATTGACATATACCCATTGGTCTACAGAGTAAACGAAATAGGAACTGATGACTTGTTCTTTGTTCTCAGTGCTCTCGTTTTTTAAAAGGACCTTTGTATCCACGTTTCCTTCAACCAAATGCTTTGAACTCTTAAGTAAGGTCATGAGCTGCAATGCTAGACAGAAAACACCTGACTAACGGAACCCATGCTAGATCACCTCCTTTCTCCTCTATGCCCAGGAGACTCTGCCTTACTCCTCTGTGTGCTGCCAATCTAGTAGCAAGTCCTTTTTTTTTTTTTTTTCCTTTGGTACTGGGCATTGAACTCAAGATATCCGCCTTGCCAGGCAGGTGTTGTGCTGCTGAGCTATATCCTCAGCTCTAACAAGTCCTTCTTGAACTGAACCGCATATGTGCCCTGCCTTTATATCCTGTGGAAAGAATCTTCGCTTTCAAACAAACAGAATCGACCCACTTGGAGAAAGTGTGCCACTATCGCCTGTGAGGACAAAGATAGTGGGCTAACCCATAGTTCAAAATGCACTTCTAAGAGAAGTACTTGGGGCTCCAAGAACAAGGATCCCGCTCCCTCTGTCACTGTAGCTGTCATCCTTGCTGCTTGCCCAGCTGGTAGCAATGGGGGTAAAATCATCCCCTCCAATCATGTACCTTCCTGGCAGCATTCTGTCTCAGAACTTGCCTTTTCCAGACCCAGAACCATGCTCTGGTCGCTGTTTGGCTCAGCAGCCAACATGACAAACTGGAACTTTTAGAGAGAGCCAGCCCATGGCCTCCAACCCCGGACAGGTCAGGGATTCTATGGGAGACAGGGCAGCCTTGCCAAGGACTCACCGCGCATCCAGAAACCGGGAGCGCAGGATCATGACGGCCTCGCACGTGCTCTGCTTGAGCTGCATCTGGATGGAGCTGAACTTGCGGTGGATGATGCTGACCATCCGCTCAATCTCCTTTGGGGAGATGGGCCTGGTCCGGCTTTGTTCTCGCAGGAGATTCATCACGTGGGTGGTGAACTCGTTGCATGCCTGCAGGGATAGGACCATAAACATGGGGCTGACTGAGGACCCAGGGCTTAGCAGGCATCAGGCCCATGGTGTGAGGCTGGAGGGGCTTTTCTAGAAACTTGTACAAATAAAGAAAACTAGAAGAGTTCATCGTATTTTGTCAACTTACATAGACAGAATAAACAGCTGCCTGAAATTTCGTGTTATCCAAGTTTTGGTCATGATTTCATTTTTTTTCCAGGGAAGATAGTTGTAATTTTTTTTCTAATCTTCCCTCCTCCCATGATTTTACTACAGTGCACAGTAAGAACGAAAAATCCTAGTATAAAACACACTTCCCCACCGTTTGCCCCAAGGTTAACAGCAAACAGAGTTGGGGTCAGATAAATCATGAGCTTTCTGCCTTACTTATTACCTGTGCTATGGTTGAGGTTCTAAATATTCAATTTGGGGAAGCATAAATGGCCAAAAGAGTTTAAGGAGAATCATGGAATTAAAAGCTTTGATGATTCCTCTACGAGATTTCTCATCGATGTATTTCTAGTTTTATTTAGTTTTCTAGATTTACTTAAAGAACCCTTCCTTCTGTAGATCTGGTATGTCTATAACACAAAGGGAATCTGTCTCCAGAGACATCATAAAACAGCATCAAAACATCATTTAGAAGATCCACAAACTATTTTTGCAGGAATGAAAATTTTTGGGCTGTACACCAACATACTACGGTACTAGCTCTGGAAGTAAAGTTGGAAATCAGATTTCTCTACCTCCTTATTTTACAGTTGTGAAAAGTGTAGCCCAGGAAGATGAAAGGACTTTTCCTCTGGCACAGCATATGCAAGAAAAACAGAAGCAGGGCATCAGTGCTTCATGTGATAGGCCGGGGACATTGGAGCCTCTGTACCTGCTCCTCTGAAAATCACTGCCCTTAACTATTATTACTTAGCATTCGTAGTCTGGATTCTTTCTCCAAACATTCAATAAAATATCTACTCACAGATTAACTCGCAGCAATGCTGTAAAGCTGTATTAGATTTGTAATGAAAAAGGCAAGATGATGCTTCGAGAACTGAAGAGCTAAGGGCTCAAAGGGCTCCAACTTAATATTAGCAGAAACATGCTCATTATTGACAATATTGCATTGTGGTTGTTTTTATAGCACGAAGTCCCTTCATATGTCAATAATGCAGTAACAATAATAGCCGTGCACATTCACTGATTATTTATCTAAGAAATTCTTTGGGGTCGGCTGGTCAAAGGATGGCAGGCAGATGCATGCACTGGGCAGTGTCTGAACTGGAGACAGGGAGGCCTGCCTGGGAGCTGGCTCCATGGACACTGGGCAAATCCTTTCATTATCCCATGCCTCCTTTCACTCATCTGAGAGGACACAGTCAGTTCTAACCCTTTAGCACATCTAATGGTGCCCATGTTCTCGTGCATAATGACCTGTAGATAGAGTAAGTCACTCACACAGACAGCGCAGGGACTGAGTAAGAGCACGGATGCCTTGGTCCCTGCCTCTGGCACGCATGTAGCAGTGGGATCTCCAAAGTTCCTTAACATCTCTGTGTCTGTTTTTCCTTATTTGTGGGACAGGGAAGAAAATTCCCACCTCGTAGGATGCAGTAGAGGTTAAATGAGTTACTATATGTGTGCCTGGCCCTACAAATTCATGTCATAATTACAGCTTCACAGTATAGAGAACTTAGGTGGGCTGTGGAAGAAGCTTAGAAGTAAAGCGCTTGGCTGGCATACAAGAGGCCCTTGGTTCAATCTCAGCACTATTTAAAAAAAAAAAAAAAGAATATAGATAAAGATGGTTATGTACTGTTTTGTTGTTCACTCAGAAAAGTAGTACCAAAACACAAGGCCTGTACTGGCCCAGAAGTGCACAGCAAAGAGGGGGAGACAAAACCTGGCAGCAAGTCAGCTGAAAGCCTGAGGCCACAGGACGGAGAGTGAGGCCACAGCACAGAGCAAGCATCCCCGCCACTCTTCTAGTGAAAGGCGACATCCTGCTGGGCTGAAGCCTCCCTACCTCCATGGGGTTCCAAGAAGGAGAGGCTGCATGCCAGGAGTTGTTGTCAAGAGCGCCAGCTTTCAGCTGGGAAGCCACAGTGCTCGGCTAATAATAATGTGCTTCATTACGGTGAATAAAAATACTCACAATATCTGATGTTTAGTCAGGGCATTTTGTCCCGGGGCCCTTTCTGCTTTGCAATAAACAGACAGCAGAGTCCTCTCACCCACTGCTGAGCTGGAGCAAAGCAGCTGCGGAACAGCTGCTCAGGAACACACCACAGACAGCAAAGAGTTCCAAGTCCAGTTTAGATGGATAGAACGTAATGATCCAGATTTCCCAGAACCTGGCGCTCCCGCAGCTCTTCTCTGTTCCCCCACGCTGGGCACTGTCAGGAACTCGGCTACTCCCCTCCACCAGGCATGCACGCTGGGACAGGAAGGGGAGTATTCGGGGCTGCAACCGTCAAATAAACAGAATTCTTCCAGGTGCAGATCTGTGCTGTAGACCTTCAGAGGCAGGTAGTTTTAAAGCTCAAGCTGACCCCATAGAGCAGAGTGATACCTAAAAAGGAGGCATCCCAGGTTCTAGCACAAGGGTGTTCTGGGGAACAGCAGACTAAAGGGACACCCTTGCGGAGAGCCTCATGAGGCCCCAGATGTCAAGCTTATGTCCTGCACTCTCCATCAGTCATTTTCCTGTAGGCTTCAAGTCGGATTTGGCTGCCAATCTCATCAACGAAAAGAGGGAGCTTAGAGCTCTCTTCATTGTGCACTAAATAAACCCAGCTCGGTTCCACATTAGATATTTAGCCCTTCATGGCATTATGTTTAAAGGCTGAAGATCCTTGCAAAGCTGGGAGAAGTTCATTTTTATAAATACCCCATGGAATACAATTCTGGTTCCTGACAATGTGGTTCTATCTATTAGAATACGCTGGCCCTTAACCACCTTGGCTACCACTATGACTTGCTGCAAAGGTACTGTACCAATCTCATTTAATGGAGAAAACAATTTCCTTCTTTTCTTTTTAATGAAAGTCTCTGGAAGCTTATGTATTTATTTATTTATTTATTTATTTTTGTCTTTTGTTCCGGTACCAGGAAGAAAAGAACTCACGACCTTGTGCTTGCCAGGCAGGCGCTTTGCCGCTGAGCTAAATCCCCAGCCCTGGAAGCTATTTATTTAATAACCACACGATGAAACAGCAAGGGAGTCAGGCAGGTTGTTCTAGAGTACAGGCGGGTGAGGAAGCTATGATAGCTAAGTGTGTGGTTAGCTGCCACTTCCACAGCAAAAAGAAAATAAAACAGAAAAAACAGCAGATTTGACTGGTAAACACTCAATTTGATAATTTCATATAGCTACTCCAAAAATAAGAGTGGCATTTCATTTGATCTAGGTTTTTTTACTTTTAAAAATGCCCCCACAAGGAATTGCTAAAGAAAAGTGGATATATGTCTCAGACAGACTAGCTAAAAGGTTAATAGTTACCATCTCCCTATGATCTGCCATTTATTATAATTAATGACATAACCTGCTTTAATAAATTTTAAGCAGCCAGAATGTGCTAAACAGAATTTATTCCATCACCAGAAAATGCCCATACAAATAAGGAAATTGTGCTTTAGCATAGTCTAAAAGTAATAAATACAGATAACTACTGCTATTACACTTCTATAACTTCCTCTGCACTGACAAAAGTTTTCTGTAAGTTCCCAATTTCTAACATGCTTATTATTTAGAACAAGTAGGTAGTCATGAGAAGTTTCTGAACAGAACATTTCTATCACTAACCTATCTTAGGTGGCAGCACACTAGGGCAGACAGGAGACAGGACAAACTGGGTCCTTCCGTGTCTACACATTTCCACATTCTTGTCTTCTTAAAAGAAATCAAGTGTTAAGTTCCAAAATGAGTCCTTGGGCTACAGCTCAAAAACTCTATTTTATGGCAAACTCTGTCCCTCATTAGATGCATAGTCTTGATCTTCATGTTATCACCTGGATCAAAACGGAGACGATGACAGTACCTGCCCTGGGTTCTGAGCTACAAAATCGCCTTGAGAAGCAATTGCAATTATATTGGCCAAGGTGTTTTGTAATTGGGAATATGCTACTCAAGTGTATTGCTGCTATCAGAGTTTTCACTCATTTTGGATGAGGATCAAGGAGTGATGGAGTAATCTCAGTCAAGAAAACAGTCAGTTCTTGGGGGTTGCTGGCATCCTGAGGTTAGAATAAAGCCAGTTTTTAATCCCTATCTAACATGCATTCTAGTTTCGTGAGTGGGAAAATTCACAGCCTGGGCTCCTCCTTAGCTATTCCTTTTAGCCATGAGTTAACATGGGTAATGCATTTAGATGGATTGTCCCACCAGAGCCCAGGCTTCCTGGGGGAAGCAGGAAGAAACCAATAGGTCAGAAAAGGAAATACTCCTATATCCCTTCCTAGGAAATGTTCCTGTACATCTTCTGAAGCTCTTAAATTAGGGCAGACTGCAAATTCTAACCTGACTGTGCTAGTGGAAGAAATTATAATGGTTCAGTAAACTAAGCACAGACTCTCCCACGATCATGGAACTAGCTATGTGGGCCAACACCAAATCAGAAACATTCCTTCCTCCCCAAGGAGGCAAAGGATGGTGAGTCCTGGGTTCTGACCACAGCTTGCTTTTGTTTCCTCTGCTTCCACCCTCCCTGCATTTGTCTGATGCTTGAACTCCACTGTGGTTGGCTTTACACTTCCCTCACCTACAAGAGGGGACTTGGTGGAACACTATTTCAAAACCAGAAAGGAGGCTAATAATGAAATAACCTTCACTTTAAATTTTAAGATGCCTATTTCTATTTTAAAATTTAAATTTGCTTTTAAGTTTGCACTTGCCTTCTACCTGCATAGTCAGAAATGGACTGTCGAGGAGGGTTTCTACATTTTGCTTTTTCTTTTTTTGCTTTTTTGAGGTATAAAAAGTAAGGAAAAGAAAAACTAAGAATTTGATGAAAGGAAGTTTATGTAGAACTGCAGGACTCTGGTGGACCCAAAGAGATGACAACAATGTATTTGTTAAATAGCGATAGGAAACACTAATGTTAAGGGGATCCTAATACAGTGGTACTGCTCATAGTAACCAGAGAAGAATGTCGATGTATAGATTTGTACATGTGTGGGAACAGGTGAGGGACCCCACACATGTACAGAGGAGCTCTGCTATATTATGGGATTTATACACTGCTGTGTAATTTATAGCTTTGCTTAAATTTTCCTTTGTTTGATCTTTATGGCCTTGACTGCAAATTCACAGTTCTTTGCCATACACCCTCAGGGTTTGGATAGAGTATGCAGAACTTGTGGGTTCCCTGAAATGTCAGTGGCGCGGCAGAATTGGAGTTCAAATTTGTATAGCTTCAGAGATGTTCTGAGATGCTCTACTTTTCTGATGGAAGAAAGTAGGTATCATATTTCTCGTCATGTATTATATAGAAAGGAGAACATGTTTGACTCTCAACTGAACTGAGCTTGGGTAGAGAGAGAGGTACTTTCAGGCCAAGTTCTAATGTCCTCTTCTATAAGATTCTATGGGTATCCAGAAGAAAAACCTTCCCAAATAAGGAACAAACAAGGGCATCAAACCTCCCATAGATCGAGTGGTGACCCTACTAATGACCTACAGGGGATAAATAAAATATACTATTTTTAAAAATTTACTATAGCCAGGCTTGATGGCGCATGACTGTAATCCCAGCACTCAGGAGGCTGAGGCAGGAGGATCACCCTGAGTTTAAAGCTTGCCAGGGTTACATAGTAAGTTCAAGGCCAACCTGATCTATGTAGTGAGACCCTGTCTCAAAAAAACAAAAAAATTTATAGTAAAATACACATTGCCCTTCATTTCCCTCAAAATACTCTCCCTTGTTTATAACACACTTATCCCATCCTTCTTGCCACTTTCTGAAGCAGTTCTGGAAGTCCTGTTCGGTAAATGTCTTCATGAGGTGTGATCAAAAATACAGTGAATGCTACTGCCAAGTGCCATCCAAGGGAAAGGCAGGCTCATAAAAACATCCTGGCGCGTCCTCAGCTGCCTTGCTCACGGGATTGAGCATCATGGGACTTCTGGCTCCTCAGCAAAGACAAAAAGACAGTGAGAGGTAAATGTTTTGAATCAATTTGGGACATCAAGGCAGCTGCAACAGCGCAACTAAAGACACCCAGAAGAGGACTTCTGCAAGTGCTTCGGCAAGTGGCCAGAGCCACGGGGTAAGGGCGTTCAGAGTGAGCAGGTGTTTTGAGAGGGATTAATGACAATATGTATTTTACTGCAATATATTTTTTTGTAAAATTTAAACATTCACCGTATGGGTTTGATCACACTTCGCACACCCTGGAAAGACTCCATGTACCGTGTATAAAGGGCACATGTTCCAGAGTTCCAGGCAACGGGTGTTCCTTACATTGCCTACGTTCCTCAAAGCCATCACTCCCACCTTCACACGCATCTCTCACCACGGACTGCGTGGGGTTTGAACAGCTGACACGGAGCCTGGCCGACCCGAGCTCGGCCAAGCCAGGAGCAGGCGTTTGCCAGGCTCCAGTGCGGTGTCTCCCGCAGCCCTTCCTAAAGCGCCCCATGAGGGCTGCGGTTACCTGCTCGTACTTCTCCAGCTCCGTGTGGTAGATTTGTCTGATCTGGGAGAGTTTGGCTCGGTAATCGGAATGCTCCACTGAGTTGTCGGACCCGGCTCCTCCGGAGGCTGCGGCTGCTGCGGCGGCTGCCGCCGATCCCCCGCCCTTCTCCGGCCCGGCCACACCCTCCGCCAGCAGCATGTTGTCCAAGCGCATTAGCTGAGGGTCTGTGGGCTCCTCCTCCTGGGCTCCCCGGATACTCAACACTGTAGGAAACGGCAAAGACAGAGGAAAGTCAGGACGGCAACCCAAGAGAAAAAAGTTAAAAAAAACAAAACAAAACAAAAACCCAATTGTGCCACATGGCTAAACACATCTCCAAATTAATTGCAATATGGCGTTTGAGGCACCAAGGAAGGATGGGAAAGAGGAAACGAGAAGGTGAGAAAATGGCAGGAGAGAGTTTTTGTTTTGAAAATTACCAGTACTCCACATACAGGAAGCGCCAAAGTAGCCAAACCTACCCAGACAGGAAGTGACGTCCCCCACAACAAGAGCTGCCGGGAGGGAGCGCAAGGAGTTAAAGTTTAGTGGATACAGTTTCATTTTGGGAAGATGAAAGGGTTCTTGAGATGAAGGGGGTGATGGTTACACAATAATGTGAATGTACGTATGCCGCCGTACACTTAAAAGCAGTCAAAATGAAGCTGGAGACGTTGGCACTGCCTGTAATGCTAGCACCGTGGGAGGATGTGGCAGATTGCAAGTTCGGGTCCGACCTGGGCCCTAACAACTTGGTGAGACTCTATCTCGAAATAAAAAGCACTGGGGATGTAGCTCCCTGTGGCCCTGGATGCAACCCTGGGTACTGCCAAAAAAAAAAAAAAAAAAAAAAGTCAAAATGATGCATTTTATAATTATGTATATCTTACTACCATAAAAATTTAAGGTACAATGGAGTATTTTTTGCTTTGATCCTCAACCTGCAAATTTCAAGTCAACAAAAGTATTTATTTTTCATGTCTAAATTTAGGTTTCTGTTGAGTTTGCCTTGTTACACTCACTTTTTTGGTAATATTTGACGAATCTATATTTTCATTTCCAAAATCACTGAAGCTAGGTAAATCCAAGTAGTGGAGTGAAATCTTAAGACATTTCTCCAGGAGTAAGTGACGTGTAGCGAAATCTAGTACGGAAGGAAACTGGTCCAAGGACTGCATCAGTCCCTCCACGTGAGGGGGGTCTCTCTGTCTTGTGGGAAGCAAGGGTGCTTCCAGGGATCAGGCGAAGCTAGGGGTCTGGTAGCTGGACCAGTGTGCTCTTGATCAGGATTCTCTGGCTAAGAGACAGCCACTATTTATTAAAACGCCGCAACCTTGAGGGGTGGAGTTGGGCGTGACTTGGGCCGGAGATCAAGTAATTTAGTAAAGAAGCAGAAAAGCTACATAGTCATTTTTTGCTACCTGCATACCACCTGCCATAAAATAAATCACTCATCCAAATCCAGTTTCGTTGTCAGCAGCTAAGTCATTGTTGAAAGGGAAAAGGAGAGGATTCTTTAATTTAAGAAAAAGTGAAGAGCAGTATGGGTAAAGTAGGAAAAGAGGGAAGGGAGTAAAGGCAGAGGAGGCAGAGTGCCAGCCCCAGTGAAGATGCAGGCGCCAGCAGGAGGGAGCTAGAGCTCTCCCGGGTGGTGCACCTGGAGAACTCCCAGGGGAAGGGACCACCACCCGCTGTGTCCTAGGCTGAGCTGGGCAGCCCTGGTGCCAGGCTGTGACAGGGAAGGTGGACATGAGCTTAGGAGGAAGAGCAATCTAGGTGCTCAGGGCCTTCTGAGAGGCAATACCAGCATCAGTGCTGGCTGCACCCACTTGTACCTGCCTCCCAACAGGCAGGAGGGGCAGCGACCTTGGAAGTTGTTCTAAGGAAATCCCGAGCCCTGCTCCAGAAAACACTTCAGCGTGGCTGTCAGGAAACACAGCACTCAGGAAACAGTGCAGTGTCCCACCTCAGGGCTAGCAGCTATGAGCAAAAAGGAGGGAAGGCACAGGGAGACCTACGCTCTTCAGAGAAGTGAAAAAAGATGGGAGGAGGGAACTGAGAGAGAAAATAAGCAAGAAAAATCTACCTCTGAACACAGACCACAAACACTTCACTTTCCAGTTGTCACCTCCTTCATTTACAACCTCAGTTTTTTAAATATTCTGCCTCATGCAAATACAACTGCTATTGTGGTGATAGCAAAAAGTTAAAAGATCGCAGAGATTTAGTTTGTGGACACCCCCCCCCCAGGGAAATTTTCTTTAGGATGCTTGGAGACTGACTGGGCAATAGCCCCTGTGATCCTTGAATAATAAAGATTGAGCCCTGTTCTTGTTTCTTGAGTTTATTTATTCAAATCTGCAGAGTCCTCTAAAGAACACACCACCACTGACAAAGATTTCCCTGAGAAGATTCTGAACACTGAGAGCATTCCATCATCGCAGGGGACTCTCCAAGGGCAAGTGTTCGCCTGGGAGGGGCAGGGGTTGTGTATGGGTAGTTTCCTTTCCTTTTTCTTTAAATGCTTTGCCAACAAAACTATCTAGGAGTCATTCAGAAACTTTAAAAAAGAATTGCCTCTGAGCCATTAATGACCAATATAGTCGTTTCACTCTGACCTGACCATTCAAAAATGTATATGCTAGGGCAGCTTCTACTCTCTCATCAGTCCTTTAGATTCTGTGCCCCATAAAAGAGCCCGCCAGCTCCCACAGTTGGTGGGAAAATTCCCTGCCATGCTAAGGCTGTCAGGTTTCAGCCTGAAGGTAATGACTCCCCCTTGTGCGTCCTCCTGGTTGAGCCACAGCAGCCCCTCTTGCATGAGGCCCAACACTATAAAACTGTGCAACACTGTCTGGTCTGAAGGATCCTGTCATTGCAATGGTCAGGCCACGTCCTCCCAGGGCTGCCTTGCACTGCCTGACGAAGGTCATGATACAAGAATCTCCCTCCTCCAAGAACACGTGCACCAAAGACTGTCTCCTGCCCTCTGCCCTCTGTCCTCTGTCCTCTAGCAAAACGCAGCTATGGGAGAAGGAAGCAAGGCTGAGAGATGGGCAACCCCCAGCTACAGTTCTAATCCTGGTTTCCTCACGTCCTAGGTGGGCGACCACGAGTCTGTCGCTGCTTCCATTTCCCATATGCCTGACAGTCATCCTGGAGTGCTAGCTCTTCCCAGCTCTTCTCAGTTTCACCCAAGCCCAGGGTTCACTGCTTTCTAAACAATTATCCGGAAGAACGAACTATTTCAGATAATCTCTCCACATCCACCTCATTAATACCTTGCTGGGCCTTGAAACCTAACTCATTTAAAATAAAATAAGAGAGACTTGCTAAAGCTGGCATGCGACACTGAGAGGACAGGAAGTAAGTGCCGAGCCTCTGTGAGAGTTCCAGAGGGTCACGGAGCCCGGACTCCTTTTTTCCAGGTATGAAGGATACAGTGTGTTGGGATTTTTATGGGGGGAGGAATAAAAGTGTTAACATTTTACTTAGCTTTTCCATCATTTTTATAAACCCTTTAAGTAAATATGCCTTTAAAAAGTTTGGATTTACTATGATTTCATAGAATTGGTTGCTAAATATAGAAATTAAGAATTTGATTGATAGGAATACATAACTAGGGTCCCATATTAGAGATATCAAGAAAATAAAAAAGAATGGAGATGCAGAAAAACAAACAAAAATAGCTCAGATGCCCCCCACGTGCACTGTTTAAATTGTGTAAGTCATACTCAAATCGATCAGAAAGATGCCAGAATATGACCAAGAATAACTATTAACAGGAAAAAAATCATGGAAGAAGACCTTCACCTTCCACTGACACAGAAGACTCAGGTTCCAGGGGACTTGGACAGTGTGTGTTTGGAGCGGGTAGAGGCAGCCCAAGAAAGAATCCTGCTCATATTTCAATCCAGAACAAGGGGAATGTGAATATGCCACTATAAACATGGGTGTTCTGATCCATGGGTAGGAAAACTGCTCAGCTAGTCAGTTAAAAAAAAAAAAAAAAAACTCCCACAACATTAAATAAATAAATGAAAAGGGTGATATGTCTAAGCAGAACTGATGCTACCTATTTATTGCTTGAAGCCAGCACTCTGGCGAGTAGGAGACAAAATGATTATTTAAAAGCTCCTTTTTATCTCTGCGGCACCATGCAAGACTCAAATGAACCTTTCGCCAGGACACCAGAGATGTTAACACTCATCCTCCAAGATCCAATTTCAACCAGCGAGCTGTTACCTAATCCAGCAACCATCACAAATGATCAGGTTCCTGCCTCCCTGATGGGCGCCCTGCCCCCCTCCCTCCTTGGACCAACATTTTTTTCTGAAACAGGTTTTAAAGGGCCCAATGCCTTGTTTATGCCAGGGCCTGTAGGATTTTAATGGCCCAGCAGGCCTGCACACTTCCACGACCAAAAACTGTCAAGAACTCCAGGGGACTCAAAATCAGCGGAGGAGGTGCCCATCAAGACATCGAACCCATTTGGTAATTCTTAAGGCAATTCCTTCCCACAGACCAACCCCTCCTGTAAAGGACCAGTCAAGACAGGCAAGTGATTTATATAGAAATTGTCACAAGCCCTTTAAAAGCTTCTGATGTCACATCCACCTTGCTGTGATTGCTTGCCCCGGGGGTTAATTCTTTGGAAAAACTCCCAAGATAACGGGACTGTCACAGCACTGTTGGGGCTGCTCTAACTACTGGTCTCCTGCTGTTCTTCTTTCTTTCTTTTACTTCACACAAGGAAAAAAAATAAACCAAACCCAAAGGCACATTCAAAAGCCCAAGAGCATTGGCAGGAGGGTTGTGAGAAGGGTTGTTTTGTCCTTGGCAGAATGACATGGATCCAGAGCAGCTCCTCCCAGTACCCACTAGAGGGCACTCGTTCATTACTAAGGATTGCTTCAGTCGGAGGGTCCTATAGTCTCTGGTGTCCTGTGCTGGGGAAATGCCCCTGCTCACTTCCGAACTTCCATAGGTTTGCAGAGGGGATTGTTCTTGGATTTGGACAGTGGTCCAGGGATCCACATAGGCTTGATATAGACAAAGAGAGACAATGGAAGAGACGGACATACTGACAGCACGCAGGTGGCTTGGGAAGAGCATGAGGCAGCCTCCCCAGCTTATGCGCCGGAAGGCGGCTTTTACCAGTATAAATAGTGCCTCTGTCTGATCCCAAGGCACGAACCTCAGGCAAGGTGCTTGACTATCTACA